TAAGCGGAAGTGGATTTCAAACGTCAAGAAGATTTTGTCTATATTACAAGCCTACTACCTGCCTACATAGACATAATAATAATAATTACCTCACACATCTCACACACTGGCATCTGATCCCAAACTAGACAGTTATCAGCAGTCTGGGTACTTATAATACAGGCTATGGTTCCCAGACTGCTGATAAATCCATGTAATGTAATTTTAAGTTGGTTTGTGTACGGAGATCAAATTTTGACGCGATGTACAACACGCTTCAGAGATGGTTTTCATCAAATTTTAAAATCCACAATGTGCCACAGCAAAGCGTGGCAGGGTACAGTTTGTACACGTATACGAGTATATTGCCGCGTACATACATTATTATAGATTTATTACACCCAAACACAGAACAAATGAGCGTACTTATCACACAAAAATGTGTCCTGGGTGGGAATCGAACCCACGTCCCCTGGCTTAGAAGTCAGTATCAATAACAACTCAATCAATAGGCCCGTTAGAAAGCGTAAGTTCTTGTCTCTCCATTCATCAAATTAGCCTCCCCCATTGTGTTTATCTAATTTTCTATTTAAAACCTGACAAAGCAATGACCTTAAAAGTTGGTAACATTAATTGAGTTTCAAGTTCAGTCAGAATTAGTCAGTCAGGGCAAATAATTGTATATGTGTGCTCGTATATACATAATCATACTTTATAGAAAAAACTGTAACTAGTTCAAAAAGTCATAAAATAACCAACTGTTTAACATAAATGGCGAAAAGAAGCGTTATGTAGTTTCACCGGTGTATAAACTTAGCTTGCAAGTTAACGGTTCATATTGAATAGGAATGATTGTAAAATTTTAGGGCCTAAGCGTCAATGTGTGGAATATCACGGTATACTTATGACAGACTATATTATTAATAAGGCTCACACAACACTATTAACGAATAATTAAAGAAAGCGTTTAGATGCCATCACTATTAGTTGACTTTTAAACGTTAAACGTACCAATTTGTTGAAGACCTTAAGAAGATAATTTAAAAATTATCACCTATCTTTATCTACCTTTACTTATCTTTACCTGCAAAGATCTTTTATATCGTGAAGAAATCCCTGCGGGTCATCACCATACCGATAAAACGATACCGTCTTAAATTACAAAGGATTCGATATACCCTAGCCTATACCTTGGTCGTCTTTTAAGTAAGACGCAGCTAAAACAATGTCCCTGTGGTGACGGATTAAAAATACGGAGGGTTACACCACCTCTATTCACCCCGTGGGTGTCGTAAGAGCCGATTAAGGGAGATAAACTACGCGGGACAACATCACTGCATAGAGAAGGAAAACTAGAAACAAACCCTCTACCAACCCGTCTGTCCAGCGTGGTATTGTAGGCCAAAACCTTTCTAAGGAGAGGCCTATGTCCAGCAGTGGACTATGAAAGGCTGTTAGTGACGATGAAAACAATGCACTCAGAGAGCACTTCCAAGGCTCAAGGGAGCTTGCTCTCTACTATTTCCTTGCCGTGGTCTCTTTAGCGGAAATTAGTAGGGTGTCAGCGTATACTACTTCATAATTCTGTTCAATTACGCTTTTGAAGAAAAGAAATAACAAGCTGCTATTTAATTTCAAAATGTAAAAAAGACAACATAAGGTAAAACATATATATTTAATTTTATATGGCGCGGAATATCGTTTTTAAAAAAAAATTGTCTCTGAAGTGGTTTCATTGATTTTTCACACAAAATAATATAAATTTAAACTTCAAACGTACCTCAATGTCCACATATTAACAAAAATTGTACTTTTGCAATTGGAAATTTGATTTTAAATGTAGATGAAATCAATTACCTATTACATATAGGGAATTGATTATATTGCGTATTTTGGGCTGTGTACTAAGCTGCTTATAATAAGATATTTGAAAAAAAAAACTATAAAAACTGTTCAAGGAAATCCAACCATTAGAGATTTGTTATCATGTGTTTTTGGGTTTCCTATTTATGTTTTACCGTAATCAGGGTCACTCAGGGGTCACCGAATAAGGCGAAAGAGGACATTAGCCTACCTGCCACACTACACGTTATAAGTAATTACTTAACTAGCCAGCTATAATAGGTATATTTCCCTTCCAAGTTTACGGTTTTAATACCGTTACCGAATGTTCCTTTTTTGGTTTAAAAAATACCGCAGTGAGGAGAACCTGCGAGAAGAATATAACTCTTCGTACATTCATTACTTTTTAATACATATTCATACCTATTTTTATTTTATTTATTATTATTTTTATTAGACCTCTCCTAAGTGTTTATTTTATGCAATCCACTAACAGACACTAAACCCTCCACAAGGCTTTACATCCCTATCCATGAAAAGGTTGGCGTTAAGGCCTTCCATTGTGCATTTTATATAGGTACTTATGTATTAACTGTTTAATATATAATTATTTTCTTTAGTGTATAAGAAAAACAGCACTGCAAAGAGAAGGAAAACTGACACAAACCCTTTTTACTTTTTTTTTACGTGTGGAAACCCCACGGGCCGTCACCCCGACGGGGTTTGCGGCGGGGTGGTGTGTCGGAATCGGACCGACTAAAACCACACGGAAAATTAAACTTTTTATGCAATCAGCTGTCAAAGGTTAATGTCATTTCCCGTAAAGTATAACTACATGTGTATTCCGTGCAGTCACAGTCAGTCAACAGTCTACGCACACTAACAGAAAATGGCGGCCGGAGGGGAGACCCCGCGCGCTTCGATTTTTTGATTAATTACATTGTAGTTTTTTGGTATTTATTACATTGTTTTGGTAAAATGTTCTGTCTACTCATTGTGATATCATTTATCATCATTTTTAACCAGAAAAATGGAAAAGAAAAAAAAAATGATGAATTTTCCGGCAGCAAAATTTCAATGATTTTCGACTCAGAATCATGGTCTGAATAAACTATTTCAGTATTCTGTACGCTGTTCTTTACACCTTGTACATATTTTTTTATGTATGGCCACTCATAACTTTTTACAGAGTAGTCCGATTTTGATAACTCTTTATTTATTCTTTTTTTTATTGGAAAGGGTATACCCCGAAATTCCATGTAAATTTGGACAAAAAACCAACTCTAAGGGTGGGAAAATTGTGGTGATTAATTGTTCACTAACAGATTTTTGTAGGTTTATATGACAGTTAATAGCTAAAGTGTGGTAGGTAGCTATTTTAAAGGTAATCAAAAATTAAGCATGTAGTAATTTGTAGTTTATAGCCACAAAAAATATAAAATATAACCTTTTTGACAAACAAATTAAACCGCCGAAAAAACTGAAAAGCAAAAAATAAAAAATCTTTGCTATTTAACATTAATAACTAAGTTCTTAAACTAATGTAAGTACACCTAAGTAATTTTGAGTCGTCGCCAAACAATCAATGAACAGAGATCACTAAATTACCTTAAATTTAAAGAAATAATCAAATCAAATTAACAAGGCAACGTGAAACCTCCTGCGATAAACATTAGCATTCCAAAAAATGAATCGACTCAAAATTACTTAGGTATACTTACAATAGCTTAAGAACTAAGTTATTAAGGTAAAGTAAAAAAGGTTTATTAATTTTTGCTTTTCAGTTTTTTCGGTGGTTTTTTTTTGTTTTTAAATTGTCTTATTGCAATCGTGATTTTGTTTTTTTTATTATGCCCCAACGTTCATTTCCAAAGTGCCTCCTTATCATCAACAGTCTTTAATAGTTCTCTGCTGGACATAGACCTCTTCTTAGAAAGGAGATTTTGGCCTACTATACCACGCCGTCCAGATGGCTTGGTATAGGGTTTGTGTCAAGTTTTCCTTCCTTTTGCAGTGCTGTTGTCCTGCCTGCGTAGTTTGCTCCCTTAGTCGTCTTACAACACTCACGGGATGAATAGGGGTGGTGACATTCCGTATTCTTAATCCGTCACCACACGGATACACCGCCAAAGTGCCTGGTTGGCAGCAAAAGACATGCCCCTTAAACGTGAGGCCAAACATATAGGCTGTAAGGGACGTCCCTTAGACCCTGTATAATAGCTGTTTAACATGTTTACCCCTTCGACAATATAGATTGGTATATGTATGTGTGTAACTATATAAAAACACACACAAGCGATTACATGATCCGATTTTTATAGTAGGAAGAAATAATTATCGGTTTTAATAACATTTGTATTTTTAAACATTTTAATTTATTTGTTTTTGCTGCCTCATTTTGGAGTGCTTTTTGAGTATATTTTGCTCATTAAATCAATCCTAGGATGTCCCATAGTTTTAGATTCAAATTTCTATGTACAGGTACTGTAATAAGAAAACAAATTGTAAGATTGTAACTTACCTAGAACCTCTTTTAATCATAAATATGTATAATTATAAGAACGTATTATAAGTTACGTTCAATCGGGACTTTTCTATTTACAGTACGTTAATAATAATATGTTATTAAAACACTATAGTTACAGACTCTTACTAAAATCATATCAGAAGGTCATCTTCAATTAATCAATCACAAACGGATTCACAAACATTTTGTACCTAACTACATTAAAGTACGTAGAATTTATTAACTTTACGAAACGAATCTCCAAATTACGCGGCCATATATTTTTCTAAACAATAGACTATAATAACGTATAATCTAACAAACATTAGCTAGCCATCAAACCAGTTAAATTAATTGGGAAATAGCGCTTCTTCTGTTCGTTGTACGAGTATTAGAAAAGGACGGCAGGCACGTTCGGCTCCATCCGCCTTTGTAATCGGGCAACTTCGGACACAACGGACATTGACGCCCAGCCATGTTGTCATTTCGTGCCCTCGCCAGTCAGTTTACACAGTGAAACATTCATTACGGTTAAGGCGTGCTCGTTGAATTCCTACTTCTTCATTGGATTTTTCTGATAATACCCAGAACAATCCCATCTTAATTTACGGTTCAGTTACGGACAATTAATCAGTAAAATTAGTGCTATCATCAGTGTATAAAAGTGGTTAGAATGGAGGTCGACAAAGAAAAATTCTATCAGACTTTAAATCAGGTACTATACAATAAGAAGGGGCAAAACTCATTACTTTTATCACGCGAGAAATATTTTTGGCTGATAGACAAAATAAAAACAGCAAAGACGGCTACGAAGAAATCAACTGCTGATTATCGGCGTTTAAAAAAATATGAAGTAGTTGACACACCGGAGGGGGAAAGATTGTATGCGGCCCAAGTGCCGGGAGATAACAGACGGCAAAAGTTGGTACATCTTGACGAGATGTACGACATCATAGCCGATTATCATATTAAATTAAACCACGGCGGGCGGAGTCGTATGATGATTGAATTGAAACGTCATTATAAGAATATTACCACTGAAAGCGTATTAGTATATTTGTCAATGTGTGAACCGTGTAAAAAGAAATTAATTAGACGCGGAAGATCTGAATGGACTTCAAATAATAATAATGAAACTATAGATGAAACTTTCAATGAAACAGCCAGCCATTTCTCAGAATGTTCAGACTTAAAGCTGGAAATTGAAGGCGAAAAGTTAACGAATGTTGCTACTACAACTTTTAAGTATCCAGAACTTTATTCTCGAGGTCAAATAGACATTCTAGGCGTTACTAATGAGCCGGGAGATGAATATAAATATTTAATGGTGTATAGATATTTTGTTTCGAAATATATCATCTTGAGAGCGATGAGAGCCTTAAGCGTAGAAGAAGCAGTGGAAGGATTACTAGATATATTTTTAACATTTGGAGCACCAAATATTTTGCAATCTAAAAATGGTTTAGAACTTATAAAACCTATATGTAGGAGAATATCAAATTTGTTTCCAGAAATTAAGGTGTTAGCATCAGAAAAAGTGTTTACGAACAATGATTTTAAAGGAAAGTCGAACGAGGATATATTAAAAAATTTGAATGAATGGTTGGTTAAATCTCAGAATACGAAATGGCAGGAAGGTGTGAAGTTTGTGCAATATGACTTGAACACAACATTTCACGAGGTTTTATGCAAAACTCCTTGTGAAATCGTGTTTGGGCAGAAGCCTTCAAAAGGTGTTACATCTTTTATGACAAAAACCGTAAGTGATGACTTGATAATGGAACAAGATCTTATAACGGTTTTTGAAAATAGAGACAAGTCTGATCCAATAGCACCGAAACAATTGCAGTTAGAGGAGTCACTGATGCTTCCTTGCAATTTTATAAAATTGGAATCGGAAATGATAGATGAGAGTGAAGAAGCAATGGATAGTGATGAAATAAACCTTTAATATTCGAGTTCATATGTATGTTATAGCTTCTTTCATTTTATTTTTTTATTTATATTTTATTTTCATGGTCGCTGTTGCAAACTTTGTTTTACAAGTTAATTCGCGTGTGTATTACTCTATACACAAGATTTATTATTTGATTCGACGGGTCTAATTCAAGCAGATATATGTCGTGCTCATTTCTCTGAATAAAATTACTACTCTGTGTTCTCCCGGACTAGTATACGGTATAATTAGATATTTATGTGTTTTGGTAATAATGTAAACAATCAAGCCATGGTGTTGCTCTCATGGCAGTTTGTATGTTTCCAATTATTTTTCTAATTCTTTTTTATGAATTCCAAAATAAGCCAAAAAAATACAAACGAGAATATTTTGACGCAGTCTGTTTAGCAAACTTAGATGCCAAACGAGTTTTTAGAAACATTAATTAGGTCATAACGGCTATTTAAATACCTATGCTTAGACGAACATTAAAAATTGAAAAAACACCAGTATTATCTCTGAGTGACTGACAAACTAATTAATCTGTATAGTTAACACTGACTATTGAAAAAAAAAAGTAATCATTGAAAAAAAAAAAGGATTACACGTTATATTATAGTAAGTTCAGCACAGTTTTCTTTGATTGAATGCAAGTGCGTTTGGCTCGTGAGAATTTTCCCATTGAACTTTACCTTTGTTCCACAGTAAGTTATTACAGAATAACTCACTTGCCTCATTTACTGTAATTGAAGAATAATGATTATTAAGACTCTTTGTTACTATACTAACGGGACGTGACCGGGTTTATAATTTACTTTTGCGACATCTAACTTCGTTTTGCGGAAACGTTCCACTTGCAAATAGTTCATAAAATTAAATATAGATGTCGCATTTTTACATTATTATTATACCGAACAGAACAAACTACCATTTAGGACTGTATGTTTACGTGATTGAAATACGCATTTATTTTGATAACCTTGGGAGAGCCATGGTTAGGGGCAAACAGACCGGCTCGACCGGAGTTATATCTCGGCCTCACAGAAAACCGGTGTTTAGCAATTTTTTTGCGGCGGGAGTCACTTACCATCGGGGTCCTAGTATGAGTTTATTACACACTAGCTGGTAACCGGCAACTTCGTTCGCGCGTAAGCGACTGCAGTTCATTAATTCTCGGGTTCGATTCCGGAAAATTTTATAGGATTTTTCTGAGGCCTAAGTTACTTCTAATACAGACAGCTACCAGTTTGTAAAATATTTTCAAAATCGGTCCAGCCGTTTTGAAGATTACTCGGAACAAACAGACAGACAAATCATATTTAAACTGGTTTTTAGGCCTATTATTTTAACATTAGAAATAGACACTTCAATTTTATTTATTTGATTATTTTTATTTTATTCCAGGCACTTAGTGAACAGAGCTATTAAATCAGGCCCATGGGGTTCATCGAGGCAAGGCAGAGGAGCTCGCACTGCAGTAGACCCTAACATCATGAGGCGAGCATTATTGGACGCACACGCAGGGTATTCAGAGGGCGCGCAAGTGCAAGCAGTAGGGAATAGAACAGGTGAGGAAATAACTTATTATTGGATTGCAATGTGTTGTGTACGTTTTTTTTTCTTTTGAGTAAACGGCTACTCGCTTAGATATAAGTGCCGAAAATTTTGTTTGGCTAGTTCATGTCACTTTTCTAGTTACCTGTCCAATCACTGAACGGGGATGCGACCACGCCCAGTTTAAGTTATTGTGGTTTCAGTCCAGTTTCCTAATCTATGATTTACGAGTATATCCATTCATCCTTTAGAATCCTAGATCTCCCACTCCATTCGTTTTTCTGTTTGTCAGAAAATGATTAAATTCGCAAGGAGAGTTGGTGATACGCAGACGCCATAAAAGTATGACAGAAAATAAAATTTGGAAAGAGGCTGGAAGACGACGATGATGATGATGATCATAACTTGTTTTTTCATCGATTGTGACAAATCGATTTTCGGAAAAGGGAATTTTTGGTTCCGCACTCTGGGAATCGATTATCGGCTACTGAAAGGATTAGACATCAGTGAATAAACTTTTAACTACTCGTATATCTAAAGCCAATATATAATGAAATATATTGGGTGTTACAACTTGAAGTCCACATCTGTACTGGAAATCTAACCAATCTTTAAAAACTATATTTCAGGTCGAGCGACAAACATGCCGGGCCTTACTCCAAGTTCAACTAACACCTGTGGTGGTACTCGATTATGCAGAACGAGGTACAACACTACGGCACCGATGTATGGGGTCTCTCTCACGTCGGGACAGCCTGTCACTATTGTGCAGAAGTTTCCCGATCTACTGCAGCAAGTAGTGTTTGAGGTTTGCGAGTGAGTACCTAAACAATTTTATCAGTATTTATTGGGTACACTATACATGATATAATTAATCCTTTTAAAAAAAGGTGGACCGACTTCAAACAATACCGATTTGAAGTCGATACCAAGTCAAATAAATACTAAGTGGTAGGCGGCTGTGAAGCTCTTTATGCTGCCCAAAACATGCTAAACGAGCCAAACTGGGATACGCACATCTCAAATGAAAATATAATTTTGAATGCATTATTACGTAGTTGATAAGTTTGCGTAGGTAAGTGATTAAACAAAATTTGCGACGTTTCATTAGAATTGTATTGAATTCTTAATTCTTTATTGAGCTGATATAAAGCTGACATAGACCCTCAGCATTACTTATTGTGCACCCACTTCAAACAGACTAGAACTTATCTATTCCTTTTATCATGTTACCTGTTATATTGAGGGTCACACTAATCGGGAATGTAAGGAATTGTATAATTATTAAAAAAAAAAAAAACTTTTTAGGGTTCCGTGCCTCAAAAGGAAAAAAAAACGGAACCCTTATAGGATCACTTTGTTGTCCGTCTGTCTTTCAAGGTTTGTGTAACGGACTGCTATTCCAAAGGTCGCGGGTTCGATTCCCGCTCAATTCAAATATTTGTGTGCATGAACATTTAATGTTTGATTTGGTCTGGGTGTTTCTATGTATAATATGTATGTATTTACAAAAAAAAGTATATATGTATTTATATCAGTTGTCTAGGACCCATAGTACAAGCTCTTTTAGTTTGGGACTAGATGGCATTGTGTGTATGTGGTAAAATATATTATTATTAGGTGACGTAGGTGTGCACTAAGAATGGATTTTTTGTTAATTCTACCCCTAAGGGTGCGAAATGGAGGTTAGAAAATATCAAACTGCTTTATTTTTGATAGTAGCGTTTTTAAGCTCACAGTAAATACTCTTTATTGAAAGTACGTAATAAAAAACATTGTTACTAATCTACCCTTAAAAATAGGTGCAAGTTTGTATGGGGAACTATTTTTTTTAACTAAACGATTTCAAACGCTCGAGGTAAGAACAAGGTAGTCCTTTTCAATGCCATATTTACTTGGGTATTGATTTATTGTGACTATACTATCAATGAATACCATCTAATACAGTGGAATAATAAGTTTTATAAGAAAAGATATTGAAATGTTATTAAACTAAGGTATGTTTTTGTTTGCTGATGAATGTACTTAGATGTTATTTTGTAGAGAGACAGAACACGCGAGTAATTATAATCGATTGTATGACCCGCATTGTGCCACGATAATTTGCATTTTAAATTGTTGTAATAAAAACCTTTTCTTTAACGGATTTCGTCAGACTTGTCAGAAACAATTTACATGCTAGTTTATAGCCGATCTCTATCTCTACAATGTTAGTGCTATCTACAACTAAAAAACTACTGTGAAATTAATTGTCTTTTCACTTTTACATGTTTCTCAACCATCCTAAACTATAATGATAAAAGTAAAATGCAAGACAATAAAATTAAAATTATCGAAATCCAAAGTCTTTCAGGAAGCAAACTCCGCAGGACAATAGCACTGCAGAGAGAAGGAAAACTTGAAAGAAACCCTATACCAACCCGTCTGGCCAGCGCGGTATAGTAAGCGAAGCGAAGCGGCCTATGTCCAGCACTGGACTAGTAAAGGCTGTTGATAATGATGATGATGAGTCTTTAGAAAATCCTCGAAAGTCTAAATTAATTTAAATCATTTTTTTTAGTCTAAATAAACCCACTTCAACGGAATTGATTATCAAACAAATTAACCAATAACTACCGAATACAATAATACCATCCAGAAACTACGTACGATCTGTTAGTGAAATAATCATGAAAATTATTATTATCATACACACGGATTGAAAATAGTACCTTTGTTGAAGTCGGTTAAAAAGATACCAGTTCTATATTGTTTTGCGTATAAGGCAATCGTTTACCACCAGTTGAATTGGGTGCTTCTTGGCCCTGTAACTTATAAGAATTTATTCTTGTTTCAGATCAAGTGAATGCTCAGTTGTAAGAGGCACATGTTCGCAAACCTACGTGCCTTATTTATTCTTGGTGCTTCCTCTTGGTCCGGTCACTCTCACTGGCCAAGACTACGTACTAGTGGAATCTGGGTGTGTCTGTAGACCAGACCCGGCGTCATAGAGAGGCACTTTAGTCTTTACACCTCTTGTATAAAAAAAAACAAATCCGTCTTGGAAATAACCAAAATGGCGATTTTGCCGCCATTTTGGTTTTTCCAAATATGAAGTATCAACTGTAAGTTATTTAAAAATAGGGAGAAAGAAATACCTGTATTACTGATGCATTTATTTTAGATTATTATACACCTTTGTACTTAAGTAACATATATTTTAATGTTAACGTATTGTAAAGACTTATCACAACTATTGGTATTAAAGGGTGCATTTACATACTGTAAAATAGCCGAAAAATTGAAAGCAATTTGTCGGCCATTTTGCATTAACGGTTAATTTATTAAAGATATTATTAGACTGAATACTATTTTTCGTTAATTTATTTTAGATATTTTATATAAAGTTATTTTGCGGCAAATATTTATCAAATATATATTGTACGAGAAAATTAATTATTGTGAATAATTTATCTGATTGACGAATCACCTGTTATGTTTAATTACGAACAACGAATGTAACAAAGATTTAAATAAATATTATAAGAAATTCTTTTTCCTTCGCATTTTATTTACCTTATGATCACAAAACCTCACCGTTATTTATAACTAAATCGAAATATATAAATTATATTATTTATAACAAGTCAACAACAACAAAAAAGTACAAGCACTTGTCAAGCCATCTGTTTCTATCTTTTTGTTGTGACATGATTTTGGTTAAATGGGCTAGTCTCTTTAAACGAATCTCTCTTTATCCCTTTCTTTTTTTCTCTTCTGCTGAACCCCACATCTTTTGAAAAAGGAAGAAATAATGAAATACAAGTTTCAAAGCCATTCAACGTTAATATGATAATAGCAAGCCCAGTGGATTACGTCAACGTTTGTTTGTAGATTGGATTGATTGAAAAGGTTTAGATCTGTTTTTAGGCTATTCATTGCTTGTGTAGATGTTAGGCCATGTCCTCTCCCCATCCCCATGACCAGTAGCAACTAAGAAGGAAGGTTAGTTTAATTTAAAATGGCGGTCATCACATACTTTCATTTTCTTGTAAAGCAATTGACTGTCTTGGTGGTGTAGTGGTAGCGTATGCAGCTTCTGTGCTGTTGTATGTTTAAATGATCTTCAAATATTTGTTTCAGAGTTTGGGTGTTTTTAATGAACAATATGTTTATATTTACAAAAAAAAAGTATATAAGTGTTGTATCAGTCTATCTAGTTTTCATAGTACAAGCTCTGCGTAGTTTGAAACTAGATGGTGTTGTGATGAATATTAATAATTAGTATTAAATAGGCAATAAAGTTAAAAAAGACGGCTACGTGACAGTGTATTAACTGCAAGCGGTCCCACATTATTAACGGAGCGGGGCGGTCCGTCACTTTTCCTGATAGTAACTGGAACACTGGAGAACTCGTAATCTATACTAATATTATAAAGCTGAAGAGTTTGGTTGTTTATTTGTTTGTTTGTTTGAACGCGCTAATCTCAGGAACTACTGGTCCGATTTGAAATTTTTTTTCAGTGTTAGATAGCCCATCTAACACTGAAAAAAATTTTCAATAGCGTATACGCTATATATCATCACGCTAAGACCAATAGGAGCGGAGCACCAATGAAGAATGTTTCAAAAACGGAGAAAATTTATTACTATTGAGAGACGCAGACGAAGTTGCGCGGGTCAGCTAGTTTGTAATAAAGCATGCTGGTACGTGTTAGATATTAAGTATTCATAAATAACCGTTATTTTTCAATCACATTCAATGTGATTGGAAAATAACTTGAAACTGAAAAATTGAATTGAACTTACCCCAACTTAAGTTATAAACAGTGGTTAAATGAATCCGACAATTTTAACATTCTGAAAAAATAAGCAGGTACTCGTAAGTTATTTTGTAATGGAAAGTAATAAAAGCAAAAACTTTACTGGTAACTTTATTGACATAAAGCTAGTTAGCTCTCTTTATAATGACATGCACTTTTTATTTACATTTAATTTAAGTTCCAAAATATTTAACTTTAAAGTACAGACACTACAGTTTTTCAAAACTGAAATACAGACATAATTTGGATAATACCTTTTTGTATGATAAGTGTTTATGTCGTACATAGTAGGTACATTTAGTACGAAATCGATATAAATAATTCTAAAATAAAGTTAACACTACCTATCAACTACATTTAACATATCTGTCCTTAAAAAATAAAGACAAAACATTATTCTCATTGACATCCATAGTTTAAATAACGAGGCACAGAGTATCTAAATACAATAAAAAATACATCCTAAATAAAAAATAAACGTCTACTATCTATACAAAATAATGGTTTGATTGACTAAATTATGACTTCATAGTGTCAAACCCATGGGAAACATCAATTTTAATTCAGGGAAACTTTAAAATTTTAATTCTATTGTAGCTATGATTTTAGCATTATCTGTGTCTATTCTTTCTTTTGTGGAAAAAGTTAACAAAAGAAAACATGATTCTGCCTCGCCGTTTAAAAAAATTGGATTATTGGTTTTGTTATAATTATTGTAATTGTTTCCCAATTTTTAATAACTTGTGGTAGACTTTTTTATGTATTAGTTTATTGTTCGTAGCGGTAGTATTGCTGTGGGGCAAGTTGTTGCTGTTGCTGTGGCTGTGGCCGAGGTTGCGCGTGAGCAGCGTGGCCGGCGTGGGCAACAGGCTGAGCTTGGTACTGAAGCGTTTGGGGTTTTGGGGTAGGGATCTTGACAACGATGTCTGTGGGCTGTCTGGAGACCTGTAGAAGTGATTTAAATTATTTAATGAGAACGTCCTGAATGCTAAAATAATGCCTATGAAGTTTCTTGTCTGTTTGTCTATCTATTCGAACAGGCAACAAGCCTCACGAGTGACTTAATCTGAATGACTTCGAATCGTGACAGTTCAATAATACCTGTAATTGGTTTGATTGAAATAAATGATTTTGAATCGTCAAGAGCCAAAATCATGAGAATATTCTCACTATTTATATGAACTATGGAAAAGAAAACGAATGTCAAATGCTCATAGTTTTGATTTGATTGACACCAAAAATGTTATCTGTATGGTACGTCTCTATTTATTGATGGATTCTAAGTCACTGACTTAAGAGGCACCCTCAGTCAAGCCAGTTGCTTATAAGGTGACTGTTCTGCCCCTTGGTTCATATTTTTAATCATTGCCATCAATTATGTCATTCTGTGATTATGGTACTTCGGTAAAGCCTAAATTCCGAGGTTTGTTAAAATACCTACGTATAATAAAATTCATCATGACCAAAATTGAAAAAAGGTTTAGCTTTGAAGATTAATTGACAACGATACTGACATTCTTTTTTTTAATTTTAACACAAAAACCGGCAGTAAAATTATGAATCTCAAATAAGAACAAATATAGCCATTAAGACAGTAATGTGATTAACGGATTTAATACAAATCATTTTAGTAACGGATTGTGCCAAATCCTCGACCCGCTTTGAAACGTTTACCCTTGTAAGGAGTTTCGAATTTACATAAAACCTGATTGTATTAAGACAATATGATTTTACTTTTCACGACTTAAGCATATCTTATCTAATTGTATTTGGAATAATCTAACGACCTTCACAGTTTTATGAAAGATCTTTTAGCATTGTTCAGACAATTGTAGCTACGTTTTAGCCTCTGTAGTTACAAAATAATAGATAGGACACGTTTATACTAGATAAGACGAGGTTAGAAGAATATCTTTAGAATAATATTGTTATCTTGTCATTTGATATCATTCATGGGTTTATCATATATTGCGCAGCGAACGTTTGGATAGCATCTATTTAGTAAAGACGTAGGTGGGTTCATAGTAAAGAAGTTTACCTCGGCCTTGAAGCCCTCTTTAGGGTCAGCAGTGTAGGTGACAGTTCTAATAAACCCATCACTGTCAACCACGGAGTAGGATCCCTTGATGACGTCTCCGTCTCTCTGCTCCTTGCGGTTCTGATAGTTGGTGTACTGGTCATCGTTTACGTCAAATCCAAACTGGTAGGAAGGATTATGCTGGAAGAATACATTCAGAGTAATAAAGGGAACACATTATCCCAAGAATTAGAAGTTTGGATTCCGTTAATCGAGTCTTTAAAACATTAAAATGGATTTCAATGCGTTTACATACTGTTATTAGTTACGTGCCGCATTTACTGTGCTAAATCTACATAGCGAACCTTGAAATTTGTTAGAAACTACTACATGATCTTATTTTATTAGTCTGTAACCTGAAATCATCCTAAAAAGAAGAGAACTAAAAGGTTAACAGTAAATAAGCAATTCTTTATCTTATTAGTTAAGCATGGGACAGTAATGTTTTATTAATGTAGTAATTGCAAGCAATATCAAAGAAAGTAAATCCCCTTGACTATCGTAAACTGATCTATTGCTTTATCGTTAATAGCGGTGCGAGCGAGTTCCAAGTGAAAGTTGCGCCTGCGCAGCCAGGGCTGGTTCATTCGATCCAACCGTGTCCGTAGCACGTTGGTGCTTGGACATTGTTGGACACGAGGAAGTGTAATCAACTAGGTTGGAATAATTCCGTATTATTAAGCAACACGGCACACCTAATGTACATATATATATATACATATACATATATATTTATATATATAGGTATGTTGAATGTATATGGTATATAGGTATGTTTTATGAAATCAAATTATAAACGTTAACGTAACAATACTTTTGAAATACGAATGGAAAATGCAATTTACCAAAAGAAGAAAGAGATTAGGGTATTGGCAGAAAATATAACAGTAAACAAGGTCTTAAATAGTGCGTTTAAACTTTGATAAAGGCCGAAAATCTCAAAGAGATTTGACCGCCATTGTACATTAACTGTTTTTTTATTAAAACAGTTTTTTTACAGTGTAACATAATATTTCCTCTCGCTGTTCTATAATCTTTGAAAGTTATTTTGCGGAAAGGGACGGAAGTACGTACCATTATTTAATTAGTAGATTTGAATTTTAATAATACAAAGAAAAGTTCGAGTCATACCTAAAAAAACACAATGACATCGTTTGTATAATACTAGTCTCACCCGCGACGCCGCTCCCGTATATAATATTAAATCCCGTAATCCCGTAGAATAAAATAATTTTATTCTATTCTATTCTATAATATATAAGCATAATCACTCACTCTTTATAGATATGTGCGTATAAAATTAAACTTTTAACATGTGAATTCATGCCCTATGATCTGATGATTCTATTTTTTCCTAAATACTAAACTGCTTTATCTACTTTTTCTTTGACAATTATAATCACTTACATCATAGTCTTCCTTTTCAGGTTGGGCAGCTTGCACCTGTGGCCTCTGGGGTTGATACTGCTGTCTGTACTGCTGCTACGGTTAAATAACCCTTAATCTTTAATTTTTCAAAAAGGCATAGTACAGATACAAGCAAAGTATGTCTTTATTTTACAGAATTTTAAAGATGGAACTGTCTTAAACCAACGAAAAATTACAAAGAAATCTACGTGATTTCTATGTAAAAAAAATCTATTCTTTGTATTAAAATTTCAGAAGTGAAATAGACCGTATTAGAGATGCAAAAATATTCAATTCCGATAATATCATATTATAAGTTCATAATAGTGTCGTAATCGTGCAACTGCTTGTGACATAAATTTGGGTTTAGAAGTATAGCTGCGTGGGTGGCAATTTGTTTCGCTTACGTCATAGTCTTCAGGTTCGCGTTGTTCCTGAGGCCTCTGTGGTTGATACTGCTGTACGTATTTTGGTTGGGCCTGGTACTGCTGAGGTTGATATTGAGCCTCATTTTGTACGCTGTACAGTTGCTGAGGTGCCTGTAGGAATAAGGAGAAGTTAGATTTTTTTTCATTTGAATTTAGTCATATTCTCAAATAATCCTGAAATTATTGTGTATTTCAAGTATACTTTGATTGTTTGTTAGCATAGCCTTATGGCCTCGACAACTTTAAGAAATTTAAATATTTTAATATCCTAAAAGAAATTGTCCTGAATACAATTTCGGTGCGGTGGCTATTCAAGTTTTTAATTGCAAAAAAACATAAAAATACTTAAATTTTGAAAGGAATTGTGTACAGCTAACAATTACTGAAGTGCTTTATTTTTCTTTTGCTTAAAATGATCGGCATTTGGGGTACATGGGTATATATACGTATACCATCTGCCAAATGTAGGTAAATATAAGTATGGTGTCTCTGTATCACATTTGGCTTGTTGTAAACTTCGTGTTACGTATTCTCCATACAAGTAGGTAGATATATATACATGTAAATAATTTAAAAAATTGTTTTTATTTATTTCTGCCCTTAGAAATTGGTAAATTTTTTGATTTGACACGGAAGTCTTCAATCTGATATGGGTTTTATTTATGACTAGCTGGTACCTGAGACTTTGTTCGCGTGAAATTTGAAAAGCGCTGCCTTGGTGGGTTCGATTCAAAAGTGGGCAAAATTTTAAAGGGTTTTTATGAGAGGAAAAATAGGCTAAGTTACTCCTTATGTAGACAGCTACCTGGTAGTAAAATATTATCAAAATAGGTCCAGCCGTTTAGAAGATTATCCGAACAAACAGACAGACAGACAAGAGGTTTTTAGGCATAGGTATCCTGCAAATAACCGTGTGAGCATTAAAAAAACCTATTATTTTGACATTACAAACAGGCACAATTTATTTATTTGTATGTATAGATGGGATCAGAACTTAAAAGAAAGGTAGGTAGTTCATGAAGAGTTTCTGAAACGGTTTTCATTTATTAGACGTTTTTTAGACTCATTGCTTTTATAGAATTTGTATTATAGTTACAGTACTAACTTGAATTGGTTGATAAATATGAGAAAATGCACCAACTTTTTTTTTTATTTAGTAGCTAAACTAGTTGAGACATATGAAAAATCTGTTTGGTGTCCTTACGGGCCTGGGAGCTGCAACGTGTTGTACTCTTGGTATGATTTGTGTCTGTGCAGCTGCCGCGTTCTGTTGGTCAGCTAGGTACTGTCTCAGTAGGTGTGGAGGAATGCCAGCTATATCCTGATCAAAGTGAAAGACATTGTTTATTCTGTATATGTTAGGTGTAATATTTTGTTAACTTACAATCTATGTTATACCGATATACCATACAAATTATTAGACTAGATTTAAATTAGTTCTATTGTTGTTGTGGTGCCTTTTTAACATCCCCCGTTTTGCTAAGGCAAGAGTGATATTCTAATAAACATTTAAGAATACGCTTTTCAAAATGTCAAGTTTTATTTTATTACCTAATTAATGTAAAAAATAAGCCAGGTTATAAGGAAGAAGAAGTGTTAATTCGTACGTTTAATTGCAGTTTTTATTCACCAAACAAATAATTTTATATTTTACTGTTATATAACTGTTGTTAGATTTTATGGTGAAGAACGTCATTACATAATAAAGGGCTATTTAGTTTAAATTACATTAACTAAGTTTATGATAGCCGAAGAACGAAGAAGATAGGTATCGTAATCGTAAATGTGATGGACATGTAATTATTTTTGTTTAAATACCACCCAATGTACTTAACATAAAACTATTCCTTAGGTATGCCATTTATTTAGCTCTAAGAATGAATTAAAAGAAATACCCCTTTTTATTAAACTAAACTATCACAATAATGAATACTGATAGCTGTATAATAAAAAAATTAAGCCGTCGTAGAACGTCTGGCAGATGTAAAACATCGAAATTATTTTTAGGAATAAGGAACACACCGAATGTTACATAATATACGATAGTGTATTATAGAACATAGCGTGGCGACTCATGCCTTGGCGAAACGTCGCCATCTGACCCTTCGCATATTCGCATATAAAAATACTAGTAACAAGTTACTCGGCCAATTAACCATTAAGAATGTGAGCCTAATTTCACGGCACTGCATACGGTCATTAGCCACAAGAAGCCGCCATTAATCAGTGCGATAAATTACATAAGGCTGATCCAATTATATCTTGTTACATTTTGGTTCGGAATCGAGCCACTGCCATTACGAAACTTCGTACTGTTAGAGTGTAACATTCTTACGTCACAGTACACGCCTGATATGACAAGGGTTTCAAAAAGTCTCATGTGTACATGTTGTGTAAAAAATAACGTTTCTTTTGTTTTGCGGTCTATTTATACTCGATTACATTGGTTTAGCAATATTTTGTATATGCGACAAAGATTAGCAGTTCATTCTATTTTTAAACATTTTAAAATTTTCTTTTTTTTTGTGCATGGTTGTTGACAGTTACGATGCTTTATTGTTTTCATTTTCTAGAAGTCTATTCAAATTCTAGAGTAATTTGATTAGAGTTGTGAGACTAGCATGATTTAATTAAGAGTAATTTATTTTCTTTATCTTTAATCTTCGTGTAAAATAATACTTACAAAAATAAGACAATTAGATAATCGATTTCTATAGATCGCACGCAAATGCCATGAATTAAACTAAAAGTTTTTATTAATGGCAAAGTAATTCGGGCGGGTTTCTCGTCTCTCGACTTCTTCAGAACGGAGAAAATGGCCTAAGCGATGATCTGTTCTGCTCTATATATAAATCCTTCATATTTTCGAATCGGAATCTAAATTTAAATACACGGTTTCTAATTGAATAATAATATTTGATAAAAAATGTAACTATAAAAGTTGAAGTGTAGAACCCTATATCACCTTTAATCTCAAATAAATACCCGTGTGAACCACTGGGAATGGCCTATAAACCGGTACCGTTATTTTATGTAATAGTACTTAAACGGGCGACTGGAGGAATAAATTACCTGCCGCCGCAGGCTTTCTCTTCCTATGTCGTTGGATTTCCTTCACCCAATAATTAAATTGATAAGTTCAAACATGTTAGAAAGTTTCAGCTCAGAGCAGGATAAAGTATTAACATCTTCCGAGTCCTTTTCCCAAACTATGTTCGGTCGGCTTTCAGCCTACTATGACACGGCTGTACTTCGCTTTTTATGGGGAGCGACTGCCATCAATCCTCTGCAACCCAAATACTAGGTGATATCGAAGTTCTGTACACAATTGTTGTTGGACTTTTTAGGGCTCCAACCACCCGTAAAAAAAGTAGTAAAAGTAAGATAAGATAAAATAAAATTATGTTGTTTACTCTTTAATACGTCCATGGTTGTTTACCTAAAATTACAAAAAATGACAGCTGTCACGACAGACGTCACATTGACATATCTATCCTTTTAAATCTAGAATAATTTTAAATCCCGCTCGCTTTATTGTAAGAAAAAGGAAAGAAAACACAAGAAAATTAATATATTAGTCTCTGATGAGAATATGAAAATGAACTCTATGTAAAATCAGGTGTCAATAACCTTATTTTCTTAGTCTTTGTTTTATAATATGTTTGAGTTAAAATTTGATTAAAAATAATGAAAAAAAAGTCTTGTGAAAATCTGCTACAGCTCAGTAATGGCATTGAATTTTCTTCATAAAATGTTTTATCTAATTGTTTCAACAGTACTATGATACGGATCTTACTCGATACATATCATCATCATCATCAGCCTATCGCAGTCCACTGCTGGACATAGGCCTCAAATCTGATCCTATGCTGATAGATAAATATATTTTTTGTCTGAAGTAGGTACCTGCTGGATTATACGACTAATCAAGAAAAACTCAAGATCGACCCGAGAAACGTTTTCAGCCAAAAATTAATTAGGAGAAAAAGAATACTGTTATTAGAATAATTGTCTACTTATCACAACAATTTAACGAAAAGTAAAAATTATAATTTAAAACTGCAGAACGAAGATATTCCTTTGATTTTTTAACTATTGTTACTTTCTTTTTAACTTTATTTTTTAGCTAAAGCCAATATAAAATTGATAATGAAATCTATTACAAGTTAAAATGGCTCGTATTTAAAAAAAACAGTCTTTAAATACTGATCATTGTTAATAATATCTGCACAACACGCTCCAATTGTTGCGTTCATACAGAAACACGACCTACATTCACAGATCTTTAGGTGACCTACGAAATACAAGTGTCAACCAAATAACTCGAATTGTTAATTCTTCACTTTCGTGCGAGTCTCAAGCTATACAATGATAACCCAACCCAACGAACAATAGGCCTGAACTTCTCAGGTTATACATTGTTAAAGGTTAATGATCATGAATAATGAATGAATCCTATGAGTTCTACTTCCTAACTAGCAGAGGGTATTTTGAAATTGCCGCCATTTTGACCGTTATAGCTTAAATAATAGCACAGTAACTGATTTTTGTTTTTTTTTAAAAAGGTTAAAAGATATAAAATACTAATATCTTACTTAAGTTATAATTTATATTAATAACTTAAAGAGGTGTGCACTCACTATTGATTGATTAACCTTTAGGTACTTATAAAAAAAAATAGACACTCACTTGCTGTTGTCGGTACTGATGTTGGGGCACAGGAACCGCCAAGACACACCCCAATACTGCCAACGTGACACAATGACGTAACATGTTGCACACACAAAAAATTATAATAAAAAAATATTTAAAAGGCCACAGTACACTCGCGACGTATTAACGTATGGTTGAGGTGCGTGTACACTCTCACTATTTATAGAGGCACCCCTTCTAGATCGTGGGTGGTAAAGGCGGGAGTAAAACCACGTACCAGTGTGTGTGTTCGAAAATTAAATTAGAGCAACTGTTTTGGCATGTGTGCCTTTCATTATCGATGCTTAAAAAAAGGAATGCAAATCCAAAATAAGTAAGATCCTTTTTAAAGACGTTGAACTGACTTCAAATAATATTAAGAAAGGCGACTAAAAACCTAGCAGCAATCGCGGTTGATTTGATGTCATTTTTTCAAGGGTTCCGTACTATTACGTATTACGGAATTTAAATGCGATCATTTATGCTCGAACATACATAAAAATATACATATATATAAACATCCGAATTGATAACCTCCTTTTTGAAGTCGGTTTAAAAATAATTAGGTTTGAATAGGAAACGAAATTTAAGTATTCATAATGTGTTTTAATAGTATTATTAGCTCTGTATGTGGTATTGCTATAAGACTTACTCTTTCGCTTATATGTAGAATTCCATTCATGATTGCCGTAACTTAATGTTTATATTTTACATTTTAAATAAGTACTTTCAAAGACTTAGTAAATCTCCAACGGAATGCTTCGAAATATCTTCCGACGACGAACGACAGTTTGCAAGTAAATCATGACTATGTAAGTCATGTATTTACTTGTAAACTGTCGTTTTCAGCGATCGGCCTGAATTATTCTTCCACTTATGGAAAAATACTTAATTTGTGTCATACTTCCCAAGTCCAGTAACACACGACTAATGTTTCTGTAAGTTACAGACATCAACAAATTTATGTCTAAACATAGTTTTGAAACAAACATATTAAACTATAAATTACCATCGTTGGAGTTCTAGACAGAATCACCATTTAAGTAAAATGAAAGATAAAGAAAAATAAACTATTGAGTTGCAGGCGTTCATTGGCGGCGGTGGTCACTTTCCATCAAGTGACGTGCATGCTCGTTTGGCCTCCCTTCATAAAAAAAATTAAACGCCAAAGAAACACAACATGGGATTCCCACACGGGGGAGGGGGGGGTCGTCTACTCGTCTGTAGATGACCCGAGGTATGTCGGGGCACCAGGGACTTCCTTTCTAGGGTATACCTGGTTCCCCGGCTATTAGTACCCAAGACGGCGTGCGGTTTTAGTCGGTTCGAGTCCGACATGCTACCGACAGGTGGTATCCGAGGGGATTTCCGCACGGAAAAAAAAAAGAGGTATCAAGTTGGATCACAGGTATCAATTCAAAAGAAACGGCCATTAGACCAAAATTTAAATAATAAACAAGTAAATCAAAAGGTAAATGTAAAAGAGGTCTCACGACACAAGCGAAGGAAAAAAATCTGAATATCGTTTGTCTGTTGTTGTTTCACATAATTGAGAGTTTATTGTAATTTCAAAAATTATGATGCGTTTTCGAAATTAAGGAATATGGAACGGTTTCACTGGGTAAAATAGGCCGTGAGTCGATTTTCGAGGTTGACGATCATTTACATTTAAGGTTTGGTACAAAATCACTCCTAGAAGCCTGTGTACGCCCCAGGAGGCTTCTGCGGTTCTGGAAGAATCTTGGTCATCTTTGGTACATAAAAGACAATTTCAAACAATTTAATTTTTTTATGAAATAAAGAGAGTTGCAGTTAAGTTGAGTTGAGTTGGCTCACCTAGCCAACCTTTCCTCCATGAAGGACCATTTTTGAGTCTAAATGCAGAAATCGCAGCCCACTACTAATCATCATCATCAACAGCCTTTAATAGTCCACTGCTGGACATAGGCCTCTCCTTAGAAAGGAGGTTTTGGCCTACTATACCACGCTGGCCAGACGGGTGGTTGCCTATGGTTTGTGTCAAGTTTTCCTTCTCTCTGCAGTGCTGTTGTGCTGTGTAGTTTGTTCCCTTAGTCGCCTCTTACGACACCCACTGTATTCTTAGTCCGCCACCAGACGGATTTCACCACTACCAATATCATTACAAAATTCATATAAGTTTGCATAAGCATAATATTTGCGATCATAGATACATATATGTTTGATTTTAAGATAACCTTACATATATCTTACATGTCTGGGTCAGAAATGTAGACATATAAATATTTTAAGCGATGCGATAAGACTGCACGGATGGCGTAGTGGTTTAAGCGGTCGCCACGCCGCTTCCTACTGCGCCGAGTGTTGTGGGTTCAAACCCCACATGGGACGACACTTTGTGTGATCCACAAATTGTTGTTCTAAGTTTGGATGTACTTTGTGTCCGTTTCATGTATGTTTGTAAAGTCCCCCGCGACACAGGATTTATTCCTAGTGCGGGAGTTGTCTTATAAAAAAAGGAGAAAAAAAAACAAGAAAAAGGAGATTTAAACGACGGTAGCTGTCTCATCATAGGGGGCTGCTGATATGGTATTTATTTAAGAATTTTTAGAATAAAATTGTAAAACGTAGGTAGTTTTAACGCGCTTTTATTAATTTACCAGTCACATCTTGAGGTCAATTTTTAACTTGCTTATTTCTGGAGTGTTGAAATTTAACTTTGTATGTACATATAATTATTTCGTAAATGATTTAGATAACAAAACTATACCTAGTTTGGTAACTTTAAGTAATCTGTTGATTTAGTCAGATGGTGTAAATGTAGAGTTCTTTTACATTTAAACCAATAGTTGAAATGCAAAAAATCTCCTTTGCCTTCTTTTTACTTTTCACGTGTTCGATCAATTTTATGAAACTATCATTTTCCTTATTTTATTTTCACTCCCACTTACGTTCTATAAACTTAAGGTTCTTTATTTTGTATAAAATTTTAATTTCGTACCCATCCTATAACAGAATTAAATGATCTATGTATGACATCTTCAACTCATTTTGAAGTCAAGGTTGATTAAAGGCTTTTAATTCTGAAACAAAGAGTTCGGCAAGAGGTTGATTGTGAAAACTGCCAACTATTGAGGGCGTGCGACATATGAAAATTGGGTACGCAATAAAGAATTCCATAGCGTTGCTCACAGTAGCGAATTGTGGCAAAGCTGATATATATTCCTTAGTACGAGTATAAAAGAAAGTTTAATGCCGTAGAATGTATTTTTATTAAATATTGTTTGCTCAATAACTATTAGAAAGTCCTATTGGTTCTCTTGACTGCCTCTATGTCGCAGTGGTAGCGTATGCGACTGTTGTTCTGAGGTCTCGGGTTCGATTGCCTTGTCGGGCCAAGTATTTGTATGCTCTGCAAATATTTGTTTAGGAGTTTGGAAATTTCTATGTAAAATATGTGTGAATTTACTAAAAAAGTATTCTATCAGTAAATCTAGCTTTCGTAGTACAAGCTCTGCTTAGTTTGAAACTAGATAGCGTTGTGTGTTAAATGTCTGAAATGTCGAATTAAGAATACAGAGTGTCACCACTCCTATTCATCCCGTGGGTATGGTACGAGCCGACTAAGGGAGCAAACTGTGCAAAACAGCACTACTGTTGTGGTGACTCCCACATACAAAGAAACAGAAAACATACTACAGCGCCATCTAATGAAGACACACCGAACTATGGAGTAACTACTAAAATAAGAATTGCTAATCCTGTATCGCGATATAAAGAATTCCCTCGCCGATTAGCATATATACAACGTCCCAACATCAACCGTTGGGCCAGGCATGATCACCTCGCCTGGTCGGAATATCCTCCCTATGTGTTGGAGGGACATGACACCCGTTCCTCCACACTGTAAAAGAATGAAAACTTGAAACAAACCAACCAATACCAACCAAATAAGAAACAAGATTTTATTTGTCAGATACCATAGGGGACTAGTTGCTTATTTTCCTGTGTGCTAGGCATCATGTTATTATTTATTCACGCTTCATTTCAAAAGAGAAAAAACTCCACATTTTTGTTTACTTTCGTGACGGTCTAAATAATGCTATATTATTATCGAACTAACATGCAACTTTGACTTATATTGGCTGCATTTTTACTGGTACTGCACCACTGCGCGTCTCTCAAGAAACGTGCAACCAACTCTTAAAACAACTTGTCGCCTATTAATAATAATACCATCATCTCACACACGGTAGTCTGCTCCCAAACTAGGCAGAGCCTATTACCAACCTGGGCCTCAATTCATATAAATGTCTTCGATGTCTTTGTAACAGTTTGGTAAACGGTACATTTTAAATTTGTAAGAAAAAATTTCATTTTATTTTCCAGATATGGCAAAATTGTTGGTATCACCATTGATGACCTATATATAGTAATATAGGTCATCAATGGTAATATCAACAATATTGCGACAGTCCATTGACACTGAATTTATGTTACTAGAATACTAGCTACTGATATTTTGACCGATGTCAATAATGGCGTCTCAATGGCATCTCGTTAGCGCGTCAATGGAATGACAGTAGATTGGCGTTACCATAAAATAGCAGAATTGAGGCCCTGCTTATAAACAAACTTATATATTATAGACTGGCCTGTTGATCTAGTGAATTGTGTTCTCACGTATTGCTTAAGGACTTAGTAAATAAGAACGACTTTGAATATTATATCGTCATATAATCAGAGCACTGGATTTAAGTCTACACAGTGTCGAAGACGATCAAGCAATGGCTGCGCTAGACTGTACATCTTGCTACGTGACTCAGTGACAGCGACATACTACTACTTACTAAAGTAGTGATGTTACAACATAGTGGTTAGTGACCCTGACAGCTATGCTAGCGGTCGTGGGTTCGATTCCCACCCAGGACAAATAATTGTGTGATGAGCACAGTCATTTGTTCTGTGTCTATGTGTACTTTTTCCAATCTATAATATATAAGTTTGCTTATCAGCAGGTAAGTTACCATAGTATAAGCTCTCGCTCTCTCTCTCTCTCTCTAAGAAAAGATAGAGCGTACCTGCTCCCACTTCCAAGACCA